TGGAGTTTGTTGGTTAGGGTGAGACAATTTAAAGACTTTAGAAAGCCTAAAATTTGACAACAAATGCTTAAGCCTTTATTTGGGAAAAAAATTATAAACGATTTAATTTATAAATAGATAGAAATGAGTTGTGGATAAGCGAATAATACTTCTAGGTCTATTGGAATGTGTGTGGTTAAAAATGATGTTTGAACAATTTATAAATTATCCAAACAGAAGCTAAGTATTGCTTATGAAGTTTCTTGAGCAAGTACATTTATAAGTTCTTAAAAGCATACAATCATCCAGATCATATGACCAGTATTGTTGTAATTTGAAGAAGATGACATATGGTATTATTGTAATTATCGGAGTAGAAATGAACAACCCAAGCAGAAGACACATAATGAAAGACCTATTGGCTGAAGAACCCTGATAGAAAACATATTACCGAACCATGACAGAACCAGGATAGGAAGTTTATTATATAGGATCTACTGTGAAATAGTGACAACAGAAGAAGTGCTTCAAAATGACCATAATGAAAGACCTACTAAGTAGATTCACAGCAGAATATCTTTAGAGGCTGATCCACAGATACAAGAAGCTGACTGTTGAGCAATGGAGGCCGAGCAAGGCAGAATTTCTGACTGAGTGAGGCAGAATGAACGACCCTACCCAGTAGCCAACCTCTCTAGACACAACTGAGTAACGAGCTTGCAACAGTCTCTTTTCACTGAGTAATAGGATTTTTGTATGTGATGTCCCTCTCTTAGAGAAGTTCTCAAAAGACTGCTACTTCTATGATATAATATAATATTATTATCTTCTCGAACATTTAGGTGACATTTCTCTTGAAGGAATGTAACAAACAAAATCTTTTTTCACAAGCTGTCCATCTGTTGGGACATAGGGGGTGCAAATTTGACCACAATCTACTTTTTCTTTAATAAAATATAGATCTACTTCTATGTGTTTAGTACGATCATGCTATTAATTGCAAACTTATTATCACAGTATAACTTCATACTTCCTTCCCACTTGATTCCCAAGTCTTCTATGATAATTTTGAGCCATAGAAGCTCACAAATTCTGTGTGACATAGCTTTTGATTTTGCTTTAGCACTTGATCTAGCTATAACAACCTGTTTCTTAATCCATGTCATCAGTTTTCCTCCTAGGAAGGTACAATACCCAGATGTTGACATACGTGCCTAATTTGCATCCATGTAGGCTTCTATACTCAGTTCTTAGTTATTTTTGAAAAGAACACATTTTATTGGTGTAGACTTCAAATGTTGTAAGATTCAATGAACAATTTCTAGACACTCTTGGAGATTGCACAAACAGAGTTACCACACAACATGAGCAATATTTGAGTTTCCCAATGAATCTTTGATATCTCCCCTTGTCTACCTTTGTATCCTCTATAGCTTATCCCAGCTTTTGATTTTGTTCAACGGGAATTTCAGAAAGTTTACAACCTAGCATCCCTGTCTCCTATTGTAGGTCAAGAATGTATTTTTGTTGGGAAACAAATATGCAATTTTTGAGTACGTCACTTCAATCCTCGAGAAGTATTTAAGCTTTTCGAATTTTTATTTCAAATCTTTTGCCAGCTACTTTCTATGCTTCTCAATTTCGTTAAGATCATCCCTTGTTACGATGATATCATCAACATAAACAATCATGACAGTAGTTTTACTGCCTTTTGATTTCTTGATGAAGAGTGTATGATCACCTTATGATTGTTTGAATCCCATCTGTTTCATTGTGTGGGTAAAATTTTCAAACCATGTTCTAGGAGATTCTTCAACATGTGTAGAACTTTATTTAACCTTGAAAACACGAAAAACGGTGAAGATGAAAAACAGAGGAAAATTATTTGGACGTTTTCTTCGTTGTTATTCATGTACAATACATAACTCCTATTTATAGTGGAAGAAAGAAAATAAAATAAGGAAAAAGAATTCTAATCAATTTACAATATTCTAACTATGGTAAATAAAATCTCCAACAATCTTCCTAATTATATACCCAATCAATTCGGAATCAACTCGGGATTTCCTACACTCCTCCTCAAGTTGAATCATAAATGTTGATCATAACCAACTTGGAGATGAAATCATCGAATTTCTGTTTTAGTAAGTGAAGATATCTGTAATTTGTGCTTGCGTGAGGACATAGGTCATACAAATAGTTCGTCCCTCAACCTTTTCCTTGATAAAATGTATGTCCTCCTCTATATGTTTAGTTTGATCGTGTTGAACTGGATTAAGAGAAATATTGATGGCTGCTTTATTATCACAATAGAGTTTGATTGGCAACTTTATTGTGATGTAATTGTTCCAGGAGCTTTCTCAACTACATTCCTTCACATATTTCTTGTGCGACAGCTCTAAATTCAGCTTCAGCACTGCTTCTTGCTACCACATTTTGTTTTTTTACTTCTTCAGGTTACTAGATTTTCCCATACAAAGGTACAATAACCAGTAGTAGATCTCCGATCGTCAATCGATCCTGCCCAATCCGCATCTATATAGATTTCAACTTCTTTTCTTTCACTCCTTTTGAAGAGTAACCTTTTTCCTGCGGAGCCCTTGAGATATCTGAGTATATAGACAGCCTCTAGATGATTTTCCTTTGAGGAATGCATGTGTTGGCTAACCTGACTAACAACAAATGTGATGTCGGGGTTTGGTGTGTGACCGGTAGATTAATTTTCCCACTAGTTTTTGATATCTATCGACTTCTACTTGAACTTCTCCGTCCTTAGGTTTTTTCCTACATCTACAGGTGTATCGCTCGGTTTGCATCCAAGCATACCAGTTTCAGTTAGAAGATCAAGTACATATTTTCGTTGTGATACGCTGATTCCTTGTCTTGATCAAGCAATTTTCATTCCCAAGAAAGATCTTGTTGATCCCAAATCACTTCGAATTCAGCGGCAATGCTCTTCTTTAATCTCTCCAACTCTACCATGTTATCACCTGTCAGGATAATGTCATCGATGTAGACGATTAGAATCGTTTTAGTACCATCTTCAAAATTTCGAATAAACATTGTGATCTGATTGTCATTGGTGATATCCTCGTCTCTTCAACACTTTTGCAAATTTGTCAATCCATGCTCTCAGTGACTGTTTGAGTCCATATAACGACTTCTTTAGTTTACATACTTGGGTTTCTTTCATTTTCTTTGCCAAAAGCTCGTGGTAATGTCATGAATACTTCTTCCAATTCCCCATTTAAGAATACATTTTTAATGTTGAGTTGTTGAAGTGGCGAATCCAAATTTGCTGCTAGTGATGGAAGAACCCGAATTGTATTTAGCTTTGCTACTGGTGCAAATGTTTCTGTGTAGTTAATGCTGTAGGTTTGTGTGTATCCTTTCGCAACCAGCCGAGCTTTATATCTTTCTATTGTCCCATCGACTTTATATTTTACATTGAAGACCCATTTGCATCCAACGAGTTTCTTCCCCTGTGGCAAGTCCATCACTTCCTAAGTTTTATTTTTTCCAACGCTCACATTTCTTCCAATACTGCTTCTCTCCATTTTGGAAGTTCTAAGACTTCCTGAATATTTCTTGGAATCATTGTCCTGTTAAGGTGAGATGTAAAAGCACGAAATCCTGTAGATAGGGTATTATAGGATATGAATTTTGAAATAGGATGAAGTCTACATAACCCTTTTTTTTTTTCTGAAAGTAATGTGTGCGTCAGTTTCAGGACATTCTGATACTTTGTGGGGATCTGGAGTTACCATCGGTTCGGATTCTCTTGGTATTTCAGATGTGAGATTCTTTGAGTACTTTAATTTTTTCTTTCTGAAGTAAACTAGTATTTCCTTATCGTTTTGTTTTTCTACTCCCCTTCCTAGATTCAAGTTTCCTTCTGTTAATGACACATCAATTGGTGGAGTCGGTGACATATCTGTTAATGGCATATCAGTTGGTGGAGTAGGTGACATATCAGGAGAGGAGAGACTGAGATCGAGAAACCGATCTTCATGTGGGATCTCCCCCTGAAGAGAGGTGTTCTTAAACTATGGCATATTTTCGAAGAAGGTGATATCAAGACTTACAAAGACCTGTTTTGTGGAAGGACCATATCATTTGTAGCCTTTTTGTGTAGGAGAATATCCAGTCAGAATGCATTTAATTGCTTGAGGGTCAAGTTTACTTCGGTGATGAGAGTGAACATAAACGAATGCGGTGCATCCAAACACTCTTAAGGAAATACTGGAGTTGAGACGAGAATTTGGGAAATATTTCTGAAATTTTTGGAGCGGTGTTTCGAAGTTTAAGATACGGCTAGGCATCCGATTGATTAGATAGATGGATGTAAGGACTGCATCCCCTCAAAACGTTTTTGGCATGTTTGTAGTAAACATTAAGGCACGGGCAACTTCTAAGAGATGTCTATTTTTTCGGTCGGCAATCCCATTTTGTTGGGGAGTGTCAACGCAAGAGTTTTGGTGAATTATGCCATGAGTTTGCAGAAAGTCTCCCATGATGTTATTAAAGTATTCTGTGCCATTGTCGGTGTGTAAAATTTGAATTTGTGTTTGAATCATAGAGTGGAAGGTGATGAACACGGAACGAACATCAATTTTTATTTTAGCAAATAAACCCAACATATTCGAGTATGATTATCAATGAATGTAACAAACCATTTGGCATGATTACGGTTTAGAATTCGTGAGGGACCCCATACATCACTGTGGATCATGGTGAATGGCTTTGATGGTTTGTATGTGGATTTTGGAAATGATGTACATTAATGTTTTGCAAATGTGCAACTTCTTCAGCTATATGTTCTGCTATATAGCTTTTACCTTGCTCTGATTCTTAGAGCATTGCATGACAAATAGTGATTAGAAAGTCTTGCTCTAGGTTAATTTACATTCCCGAAATTGCTCCGAGGGTGAAAATGGTGCTCTCAAAAACTTCTTCCAAGTGCTCTCAAAAACTTCTTCCAAGTTCTTCTTAGTGCTTGTATTCTCAGTTTTTTATCAAATATGGGAGGAGTTCGTTTTTTATCTATTGAATTTAAAACCTTCGAATTCATTCTTGAAGGAGGAGGGGTTCACAGTATACGTATAAATGAGTTGGGAAGGGGTTTTGTTCACTCAGTGGTTCTGGGGAGAGGATGTGCCATTAGAGTGGCCGGTGCCATTGAAGACCTCATCTCTAAACCATACATTGAGTCTTTCGCCAGAACTTTTCGGGTGGGTGATACTGTTATTTTCTTGCAACGCTGCTCTAACCGGAAAGGCAGGTTTATCTCTATTCAGGAAATCCATAGAGGAGGACGCAAGGGTACTATTATTATTCCAGAGGGGAGAAATGGTGTTGGTTGGCGTGGGTTTGGGGTGGAGTTACGCCGGCATTGTGTCCCTGAGGTCAAGCATGGTGTTCTGAGTCCTGTTCCGACGAATCAGCAGAAAATTGAAGCCGAAAAAGTTTTGTATGCTGAGGCGGCGTCTTCCACCGCCTTACCGGCCGGCGATGCTAAAGGAAAGCAGGCGGTTATTAATTTGGGGGACAGTACAGAGATTGTGCAGGATTTTCAGCCGAAAATGGAAAAGATTTCGCTCAATATGGCAACCTGTAATTCTGACAGTACGGGGACAGAGACGGGGAGGTTACAATTTTGTTTGAATATCCAAATTGTGCGTGGGCTGGATGGGGCTTGGGGGGTTAAGCAAGCTAATATTTGTGGACACAAGCAAGGCCCAGAGTTCCCTTGTGGGCCTAATCCTCGAATTGACTTGAAGCCCAATAGATCACGCCCTCATATGAGATTTCATAAGCCCAAAACAAAATTTGTTTGGAGGCCTAAAGCAGTCTCAAAGGCTAAATCAATTCAGAATCAATTTGGCCCTAAACCCATAGCACCGTTTCGAAGCTCTCTGGAGGGATCTGTGTTGAACCCACTGTCAAGTGCTCCAGCGAAGGTCTCGACCCCTACGAACGGTCCGAAGCCGGCGTTGACTGCGGATATGGAAGCCACAGGTTTGGTCCCTTATCCCGGCGAGTGCGTGACGCGAGCGTGGGGATCGTCTTCGGACTGGGTTCTGGAGTTGCGTGATGGGCGACGACTGTCCATCCCGGTTTCTCTCCTTCGTCCGTACTTGGGTAAGTCTCAGACTTTAGAGCCTGTGATTCCAGGTGAGTTGGGGAATATGATGTGTGTAGGGGGTGGTAATGGGGTTTCGGATGGGGTTAGTGGCGATGAAGGGGATGATGAGGGAGAGTCTGTTGTAGGGGCTGATTCGGAGTTCTCTATCGGGGATGGTGTGGTTGCATGTTGGGAGGGAGGAGAAGCACCTTTGGAGGTACTTCCTTTGGCTGTTGAAGTTCCTCCAGAAGGGGACAATTTGAAAGGGGCAGTAGTTCCAAGGGATGTTGGAGTTGGTATGGAAGGGACATCTGAGATGGGAGAGGATAAATGTGGTTCTCGTCCGTCGAAATGGGTATTGGGCAAATATCATCGTTTTGGTAAATTTCTGGGGGCTTCTTATGAGGGTTGCGAGGAGGAAGTCCTCGCTCTTCTGAAATCCATTGACTCTCGCCGCATTGACTCTGCAAGTGGGGGGGAAGCCTCAGTTAAGCTGGGCAGATCAGGGAGGAAGGGTTCCAGGGAGTTAAAAGCACTAGTGAGTTCAATTAATTATGATGGGGGGGTGTCACGTAGTAGAGGATGCAACGGGGATAGGGTCTTGATGTTAACCCAATGAATGTAAAAATTCTTTCTTGGAATGTTCGTGGGCTCAATGATAGGGACAAGAGGCTCCAGGTTAGAAGTTTCATTAAGCAAGGGGGGGCTGATATTATCTGCCTTCAGGAGACTAAGATTGAACTGGTGTCCAGACGACTGGTTCGTAGTTTGTGGGGCATTCACCATGTGGACTGGTTGTTTCTTGGATCTATTGGTGCCTCTGGGGGTATTTTGCTGATGTGGGATCGAAGGGTGGTGGAGAAAATTGATGAAGCTGTGGGAGATTTTTCTGTTTCGTGCAGATTTAGGGGAGTCATTGATCAGTTCGAATGGGCTTTTTCTGGTGTTTATGGACCACAAACTGACAGGGAAAGGTCTTTAATGTGGGATGAGTTGGCGGGTTTGGCTACTTGGTGGGGTATCCCGTGGTGTGTTGGAGGGGACTTTAATGTTATTCGCTTTCCTACAGAGAGATTAGGGGGGGAGGTGATCTCTTCAGCTATGCAGGATTTTTCGGACTTCATTTCTCATTTTGGGCTACGGGATAGTCCTTTGGAGGGTGGCAGTTATACTTGGTCCAATAATCGAAGGGATGTCTCCATGTCCCGTCTAGATAGATTTTTGTACTCAACGGATTGGGAAGATCATTTTCCTACTATCCATCAAAAGCGTCTCTCTAGACTATTGTCTGATCATTTTCCTATTATGCTGGAGTGTGGAGACTTTTCTAGGGGTATGAGACCCTTTCGTTTTGAAAATATGTGGTTGAAATCGGACGGCTTTGTGGATCGAGTGAAAGGGTGGTGGGAGTCGTATCATTTTGAAGGCACCCCTAGCTTCATTCTGGCTAGGAAATTGAAAGCTCTCAAGCTAGACTTGAAAAAATGGAATGTGGAGGTCTTTGGTAATGTTCAGGATAGGAGGAGGCAGGCTATGTCTGAACTTAATGTGCTGGATGGGGAGGCAGAATTACGTCCTTTGTCTAGTGAAGAGAGAGCTCAAAAGACTAGGCTCATGGAGGAGATCGAAAGGTCGTTTCTGCAAGAAGAGATTAGTTGGCGCCAGAAATCTCGAGCGCTTTGGTTGCAAGAAGGTGATAAAAATACTAAGTTTTTTCATCGTATTGCTAATTCACATCGCAGGTATAATTCCATCTCTTCTCTGATGATTAATGGAGTCTTGACTACTGATCAAGAGGCAATTTCGACGGGGATCACGCAGTTCTACCAAGACCTATACCAGGAAGGAGGGGCTAGGAGACCGATGCTAGATGGCCTTGATTTTTCTATGATTTCAACGGAGGATTCGGTTTGGTTAGGGAGAAACTTTGAGGAGGAGGAAGTGTTAGGAATTATTCAAGGGTTCAATGGAGATAAAGCTTCAGGACCAGATGGTTTCTCTATGGCATTCTTTCAAGTCTGTTGGGCTGTTGTTCGTTCGGACATCATGGCTGTGTTGAGGGCTTTCCATGTGTCTGGATCCTTTGAAAAAAGTCTCAATGCCACTTTCCTCGCCCTTATTCCCAAAAAGGTGGGGGCGGTAGAGGTGAAGGATTTTCGTCCTATCAGTCTTGTAAGCGGGTTATACAAGATCTTAGCTAAAATATTGGCTAACAGGTTGAGAGTGGTGCTGCCAAAGATAATCTCAAAATCTCAGAACGCCTTTGTC